TACTGGAACCCATCTCCATGAATGCTATATTTAATCGGTCCCCGCCTTCGCCGACTTCTGACCTCGCTGTCTGTTATCACCTTTTTACTGAGAGTCGCTGTCGAGATGGGAAGTGGCTGTTCACGCGAAACAGCGCGCGGCCGCAACTGGGAGATGCTCGCTCTTTTACCAAAAAGTTTCGATCCCATGTCTTAAGCAGACCAATTCTAATTCCTGTAAACCGAAGGTGATCGATCATCGTCTTCCTGCAGAAAGCGAATCCGAGTGTTTCGCTATTTGTTGTGCGTTGTCTCACGAGATTGGTGAAACCAGTTTTTATTTTGTTCCGAGTCCAAAGGGGCACAAACCCTAAATCCGCTTTTCACTGAGCCAAGTTTTGCAGATTCCTCCTTTTCGAGCTTTCCTTCGCATTTGTGTGCACTCTCAATGGACGCCCATTGGATGGGCACGAGTGACGTCAGAGCTGTAAGAAGCTACTGCAGACCCCTAATCGCCGGTGATACGACGCAGCTTCTGAAACGGCGGCTGGCATTCTCGTGTGTTTGTGAACCGCCACAGGAGGAAGAGGTTCCTGCTGTCCCCATCATCGGGGCGAAGAGCTTCACACGCCTTATATCAGCAGACCAAATTCTTATTCAAAACCTAAGAACGGAGATAACCACCAACCGAACATTCAGCAGCAGACGGTCGGAAACTACAGGGTGTTTCTAAAAAAGACGCTCCAATTTTAATTGCATATAATAAGAACCTAACTGCATAGCAAACGTCACCGAGTTCCGCACTCTCACCGAAGGTTTTCTTAACGACACTGCGGCCGCTGATCGCCATCAGTTTCGGATAAACATTTCTTCACCGGGACCTACGACACGAGGCGAAACACTGGAATGTACTCAACGCGCTTTTTGGCGACGGAGTCCTCCTGAACGGTTCCGTCCAGATCTGAATCTGTGCGACTGTTTTTCTTTTTCCCTGACTTTCTGAAAGGAGCAGTTGATCAAAAACAGTTCGCACAGAATCGAAGAAATTCAACAAGGAATTTCGTCCTACGTGACTGTCAATCGCCCACGACTGCTGAGCCGAAAGGCGACGTTCGCCAAGCAGTCACGTGATCGCATGGAACCACAACCGAAACGTCTTTTCAGAAAGGCTCAGTACATGTACAAGGAAATCGTAACAAAACTGAAATACTGGGAAATAATTGTCTCTTCTTTTAGAGGCTAAAATTACGAAGTCTTAACCTTCGGCGCGGAGCTCAACATTTTTCACACTTGTCTTATTACAGCGTAACCTCCAGGCGAAGAATCATGAACAAACAGTGCGCGTATTCGAATCCTTCTGAAGGACAGTTCACCAGCTGATTGGAGAAATGAAGAGGGAAGGGATGATTATGCATCTCGTTCTCTTCGGAACATGCAAGGACGTTCGTGAGCTCTTTTTTTAATAAAAACGAAATTTCACTTAAGTCCAACCAAGACTCGTACGAAGTGTTGAAATATACAGCAGTCAGCTGATAGATCCAGAGGCAGGCCTCTTGTCTCATCGCCGCAAGCTCCCTTACGCCGGAGGGCTGCAGGAGACCCACCTGGTCCGAGGCCACAGTAAAACCCCAGACATGCAACCGAATCGAACCTCGGTACGTCGAGATGAGCACACGAATGGCGGCTGCCCTGCCCACATCCCAGAAACGATGACGACAATCCCATGTTCCGATCACGTGAACGCCACCAAGCTTGAAATGCGTCGTTGCATCAGGCAGGCGAAGTGTTTGGACAGCGACCGCTCTGACCCCGCGTTTTCCATCGACATTCCAGAGGACCCGAGCGGCAAGCTGAGTGTCCCGACGAAGTAACTCAGTTTTCGGGGATGCCATCAAGCAAGCAACTTCTGACCTCAGATCATTCAAATAAAAACATTTCGTTATCAAATTACGTAAACGATAAAGCTGGAAATATTCGAGAATACTGATCCTGAAACGTGCAGATAATCCGGAGGATGAAGGCGGCGACGCCAGAACAGTCCTTAGTCACCGAGTTGTTGATTTTAATGAAACTAATTCAGTCGTAACTTCAGGAAATATTTAAGACGGGGCAGGTTCATTTCGGTTCGAAGCCGCTCGTGAAACAGCAGCTACTTGGATAGGAGTGCCGGCCACGCAAAGTTAGCCAAGCAGATGACCACCTAAAGTGGACAAATCGCACTGGAGAAATTATTATTTGTTTACGAAACCTGTCAGATTAATGGCTCGTGTCACACATCAAAATTCCGGCAGACGTTTATTTAAGAGATACAGAAATCTTCTCTCTTCCAACAGTCTGCCCCTATCTCACAAATAAATAACACAATTTAAACTTGCATTAAAAGATATTGAATTTATAATGTTTACAAATTACTCGTAATATTTATTATTAAGGTTCCCTTCTCTTTATATGTAATGGGTGGATTTGTTTGACTGTACAGGAACCCCCTGCTTATTTTATGTTAAATCTCTGTAATTACTTGAACTGTACTTGTATAAATGTACTGTATCATTACGAATTTTTCCACAAACTACGCCAACAGATAAATTACCGACACCTTTGCTACGCCACTGAAGCGAGGAGACATGACATGGCTCAAATTGCAATGCCTGATCCACTGCCACGGGCTCTTCCGTTTGGGGGGGGGGGCCTTAAAGGACCAAATGTTGATAAAGTGTTTGGAGGAAGACTGAAGACGGTCGATACTACCGAGGACCTTGAAACAACGCGGCCACCGAACAAGGGCGCAGACTCACGTACATTTCAGGCACACGGCGTCGGAACGCAGTACACAACTAACTACGGGTTGCGTCCAACCCCTGCGTCAGCTTAGAGCAAGGGACGGTCACTGGAACGAGACCAACGGGCGACGACAACCCTCACGGCACAGCTGGAAACACATCCGCCTCCTCTCGCACCGGCACCAGTTCACGCCATCTTCGTGGTCCATGATCTTCTCCGAAACGAAGAAACTATTTCCTTTCACAGCAATCCATTTTCCAGGCGCTAATCTTAATTCGTGTGTAAGAATTTGGCCGATTCTGTGCTGAAGCCGAGGCGTTTTAAGTCCATGCCTCATTTCTCGTGCATTATCGTCACTTCGCAGTAAATTTCAGCAAGTGGATACACACCTCAATATTCATTTCATTCCCTTAACTTCTTAAGACATGTTTCGGTCTATTTTCCGATCATCAGATATCGCTACTTTTAACCTGCGATTGCAAAAGTTCACGACACGAATCACATTACACCCAAATACGCGCAGACGTTTATATCTGCTGCCTGTAAATACATTTTACGCTATGAAATTACGATGAATTATATAAACAATGGCAAGGCAGCAAAATAAATGGTGGAGAAGGTGAGGATCGAACTCAGCGCCCTCTGGATACCGGAACACCGAAACGGCCCAACTGCCGAAACGTCCCTCACCCGTTCTTCATCCGAACGGCGTGTGTGACCACGGGGCCAACGAATCCGAATCAAGCTTCGTCATTCCTGGGCGAGAAAAATACACAGAAGTCTCTGTCTCTCTCTCGGGATGAAGGCGCGGCCTCCTCTCTCGACATGTTTGTTTGTTTGTTTGTTTGTTTGCTGCATACTGAATGGCCTTCTCGTAGGTTTACAGTCAAGGTCGCCGTCACAGCAGCTACAAAAAACCAAACGCCATCAAGTCCATATTCAAAATACGAAAAACAGTTCTTGGGGTTCTTGGGGTTCTTGGGGTCCCCCCCCCCCAACAAACCGCCTTCAGCCTCAGTCTTTTACTCGCCAAACCGATGACAACGCCTGAGGTACGATCAGGTCCATTTCATTCCGCCAAAGTTTCAGCATTCCAAAGCGTGCCCTTGTATGGCGATCAGCACAGACTTCAGTGTCGGCGG